ACTAAACTGCTAAACTTCATTTCTTACCATGATACCTCACAATACATGGTTTAAAAAAAGAAAAAAAAAATCCTTCAGAGGATCTTTATCAAACTTAATATTTGTGAGTTAGCTTTTTTCAGTAGGCACTGGAAAGTCAAACAGGCTATTTTAGGACTGTTTCCTACTAAAAATGTGTACCTAAAAAAATGCCAGGGCAAACATCAAGCTGTAACTTATTCAAATTTCTGAATCCCTTCTACAGAGATTCCAAAGTGGCTCTGAAATCTACATTGTTTTCCATGATGATTAACCAATTTCAGGTGGACTGGACAAGTATGGAATCTGAATATAACACAGACAGCAAACAGAATTCAGAATGTGTAGCCCAAGATGTTTCTAACAGGAAATTTACTGCTGACCCTGACATGTCCAGATAGGTTTTATCTGGAATCTACTGACTAGACAAGCCCTACTGCAACCACAGAAATCTTTGGTCAATAATTATTACAGAGTATATTGTTACAAAAATGAAGAACTCAGCAGAAACTGCACATTGTTTCAGAATCCATTTATAATATAGAACTGAACATTGAACATAAATTTCTTTCTTAATACAGTTACTTGCTTTATTATACTGGTATAGACAAACTATTAGCTTTTTGACTTTTCAGCAAATTTTCTAGATGATAGTTTTTTCAATACTACAGTATTTCATTGCCTAAAGAGATATTTTGTTTTAGCTTTTGATGCCTCTCTTAAAATTATCTTTTATGTGGTAAAGTTCTGTCCTCTCAAGAAAAATGTTACTACATTATGGCTTTCACCTTATAGAAGCTGACACCAAATGATGTCTCTCTAGATTTAAAATCTAAACTTGCACACCTGCAGTGTCACACTTTCACCTTTATTGCCCATCTGGCAATGTCTAAAAAAAAACCCAACCATACTTTCTGCTTTCAATAAAGAGGAATCTTCCAAACACAAATATTTTATCCAATGAAAAGTGAGGTTGAATATGCTTAGACAATATTCAAAGTTTACACTTGTTACTGTTCAGGTAAATAGTCCCCAAGAAACCTACTTTTAAGAAAAAAGAACCCAATCGTTCTGCCTTTCTTTACCTGTAATTATGCCAACCTCAGATTTCACAGAGTCCAGCAAGCTTCTCCCCCTACAAACTGTTCACGAAGTCTGTTTACTTGAAAGGCCCCATGTGCCACATTCATAAACAAATTTTTCCATTGTAAAATTTTTCAAGATGAAGTGAAATTTTAAATTGTAATTTCTTCCTATCTTCTCCATCAATGCTCACATCTATTTGTATTTCTCTTGAGATGTTTTTGGCCCACATTAATAAAATTCACAGAAATATTCACATTCCCCCCTCCTCATTCTCAAGACAGCTTTAAACTCTTGCATAATCTTCTTGAATTGCATCTTCAATAGTCAATGCAAGTGTAACAATAATTCAAGGAAATAGAATTACTGTGAAAGTAGTACAAAGCAGCTTGAATAAATAGCGAATGAATTCTTATGTAAGTGTACTTGAAAAGGGAAAACTAGCACAGACCTTCATTTCCATTATCTTCATCTGCATTAGGGGAGAATGTTAATATGTCTTCAATACAATTAATTCAATACTAATTGGGACTGAGGAAGCTCATTCTATCCTTTATCCTAATACTGGTAGTTAAAAGGTGATTTTAATTGCCATAGTAATCAGATATAATGAAGAGCAAAACTGTTTCTGATTAAATAACATTTGCATCAGAATTGCTGTTATATGTTTTTCAGCTCCTAGAAAGCTGTCTTCAGTTCCTTTTTTCCCCTCTCTTTTCAGATATGCACGTGGATGCAATGCTGTAAAAATTTTGCAGATGTTTTATCAGATGGAAATTATGAAAGACTATGTATAAATGTATCATAGTGCAGTCTGTTACATCCCTCAAAAAATAGGAAACACTGCTGAAAAACAGCTATAAAGAATGTTCTTTTTCCATAGAGATAGTGAATGCTAAAGAGAACAGACTGTTAAGCTCTTTTCCTACAGAATTCCTCTGATGCAACAAGAAAGAAACGTTCTTGATTTAGACTCTTAAATTTGGGGTCTCTAGGTATGTGATAATTTCAGTATTTCTGTGTCCCCATTCTTCACCAGGAAAACAGGCATACAGAAGTACCTTACTAGTCCAGGAAACTCAATACAGAGATGCATAAATAATAGGAGAGTGAAAAGAGCACCAGAAAGGACCAAATATTCCCAAGCACTACAGCTACAACTGAGGAGGTGGAGCTGATCATCCCATAAGAGCAGTGTCTGGAAGAATAATGCAGGAACTGCAAGAAGGTCTTGCTCTGGGATGTGACTGCATCACAGATTGACTGCACGACAGATCAGCGAGACGTAGTAAGAATTGTTAAAATGGAGGTTTTAATATTAAACAACAGGTCTCACTATAAATTGTGTTAAGGTGTAGCTTTAAATCAACGATACGTGAAATACACTTTTTCACTGAGAACACTTTAAATCCATTCACTACAACTCATGAAACACCTTCCAGTAGAACTGACATAAAGATAAATCACGGGCTCAAAATACCTTCATCTCCTTTAATATTTATTTTAGTTTAACTGAAAACCACTTAACCTTTCTGTGTGTATTAGAGAAGTGTACATGTTGGATAAGTTCCTACTGTAAATTTGTACTTTACAAGATGTATGTTGATTTTGTCACCTATCAGCCCACTCTGTTTCACACACAAACAGTTTTTTGAAATGTGGATGTGTTTTAAGATTCAGAATTACTGCAGTTTGTACGATACTGTTCCAGGGTAAACAGCTGCGAAGTTCCTATGAAGTTGAGAGTTTTCCTATATTTTTATACTTATCCTTACACATTTTGGAATATTTAGCAGGATTTGTATCAGTTTACACATAGTATTTACATGACTTCTCAGTTACATGAAGCACAAATCACTGAACTGCGTCTTTAAAATATTGGTAATTCTGAGGTTACTTTATAACTAGGACTTATACAGGACAGTCCTTGATTCTGGCTCCACCTCAGTTTTCTGCTCTCAGTTACACCAGATAAAACAGATGCTAATTGTAGTATTTAATGAATTCTAATTATTTCTAATCTGGATTCTCCAGTGGCCACAAAAAAAACCAATAACTGTAGCTGTGTAACCAGGTAACAGCAAAAAAATTGCTTATTACAGAATTATCCACTAAAAGGCTGGAAAAGATGGGAACCCTGTAGCTCTGACTTGAAAGGCTGTAGCAATGTATTAATATTTTATTCTTGAAAATATAGCTAGAGAAATATTTGAGAGAGTTAGGTTAAAACACCCTTTGGGTGAAAAACACCTTGTCAAAGTGACAGCTTGAGAGGACATCTGTGTCCTTCCTCTAAGTCTTCTGCGTCACCTTCACTTAGACAAATTTGCAAACTATTTATATAAGAAGCAATGAGCAGACAGAAGTAGATGTGTAAGAAAAAAAGTTACTTGGCAAAAACACTGCAATGAATATCAATGTTGTGAAATCCAGTGGCAAGGGAGCTATCCCCCCACCCACCTCCTAGCATGGCCATAGAGCTGTAGTATGTGAAACGGAAATTACAGTGTATTGGAAAAATATTTTAGAAGTATTAAACTAGCTTTGAGTTATGGCTGTTTTGGTGCATTTGACCAGAGACAGTTATTTGCATATTTGCAATTTCAGTTAAAAAAAAAAAAAAAAAAAAGACTTTAAATGCAAAATTAAACTTAGTTGTACTTGTTGACAGGGAACATATTTCATGGCAAAAAACAGAACGCTATCGCTGTCCTGAGGCATCTATGTCACTGCTAAGTCTGGTGTACTCCTCATCTGCTTAAAAAATGACCAATATAGACAGGTATGCTGCCACTGACTGAGCTGAAGCAATTTAAGAAGGTGTAACTTTCAGGTGTTAACTACAACCCTCAACACAGACCAATAGTATCTATCAACACTGCCAATAGTATCTAAGTGGGCTTCTTGTACTTTTCAATAGCTAATAAAACATTTCAACTTACAATGACTCAAGTGGTAGTTTAAACTAAGTTCCCTCTTAGGAGAGAGTAGGACTTCGCATAGGCTGGTAGGAGGGAGGGTGCTGATGTGATATTAAGGTGGTTCTTAGCCTCTCACAGAAAGTGCCTGTTCATTCTGCAAAGAACTATTTTTGGTCAGTTGACATATACTAAAGAAAGATTAGTCAAATGCTGAAAAAATGGATTAGAAAAGCCTCATTAGACACCTCTCTGAGAAAATGTATTTATGCACCATTTAAACTTCATATTTTGTTTACAGTTAAAGTGAAATTATTTGAAGGATCTTGTCACCTATACAAATTAGAGTTGTTCACTAAAACATATGCCACAGTATATTCAATATCAAGACCACCAGATTCCTCCTCTTTTCTTACTTTCCTCTTTCCTAGGGTGGCCTCATGCAAAATACAATCATCTCACCGCTGACAAGCACAACACATTGTTTTTTATCATGTTGAAATGTCACTCTGTACTCAGGCTCCAAGCTCAGCCAGGTTTTCCTGCTCCTAATAGTACTTTTGGGAGAACATGCAGTATAATATGGAGCCTCCAAGCCCAAAAAGAAAGATGTTAATTGCCATACTACCTTGATTATAGAGATGTTTGCAGAATGAAATTAACAACAAAGCAAGTTAGATGCTACTTCTTGGAATTAAATCCATATGAAAAAAATCAATTAACTGCTACAAATGAAAACAAGCCAATAATTGACATCAAAACGTTTTGAAAGGAACATTACACGTTAAGTGGCAGATACAGAATTATATGATCAGGTAGGCTAAAACAAAACAGAATTTTCACTGAAAAAGGTAACCTTTTCTTTTCCAACTTTCAAATCAAACAGCAAGTATTTTTCATATTGATGAGAAACTGCATTCAGTTTGTTGCTCCTTACCTTCTTTTTCTTTTAACAAATCTCTACTAGAAATGATGTCTTACCTTTGTTCATATCAATCAACTGCTGCTTCTTCTTCTGCCGCTCCAGTTTCTCTCGTTCAGCCTTCTCTTTTGCCAGTTTGGCTCTCTTTGTTTTCTCCTCCAATTCTCTTCTTTTGTAGTTTTCTTTTAACGCCTCCTGCATTAGATAGAATGAACATGCGTGTCTATAAACTGAAGGAAACAAGCAAGAAAACAAAAAATAACCTTTTTTGCACAGGGTTATTGTATTTACATCCAATGGTGGGGGGAAACCAGGGACTAGCACCCAATACTTCAAGCATCTTCAGAAATCTTGGAGGGAACATAACTTGCAATACTATTTGTACAAATCAGCATTATTAGATAATCAGAAGAATGAAAACTGAAGTAGCTTTGCATTTATGATTAACGAAACAGTTCCAAATTTTTCAGCAATAACATGTCTGTATTTTTTCCTCAGAAGACCCTAAGTGTAGCTTGAACTCATATCTTGCTGTTAGGAGGAATAAGGGGGGATGAAGCCAACCTCCCACTATCATGGACTTTTATTACAAGTAATTGAAACTTGTTGACTACAACTTAAGCTATAATTCCTCAGATATTTTTGTTGAAACATCCAAAGCAGTCAGATCACTTAAGTAGACAAACCACATCAAAAAAAGTAATGGAAGACAGGTGAATTTATAGATCAGAACTCTAAATCCAAAGTCAACAGGTTACACAAACTACCAAAATGAAAACTAGAAATGTAAGAGAATATTTCTGGATTAAAACCAAACCAAAAAAATTCAACCCCCAACAACTACTACCCATAATCTTGTCTCCACCCAGTCTAGAAGATATCCTCCCTTTTCACCAGAGGCTTATCTCAATTTCTGGCTGTGGTGGGCAGACCCTGGCTGGCCACCAGACACCCAAAAAAAAAGGAAAGAGTAAGATCATAGGATGATACAGGGAGACCAGTTACTGTCATGGGCAAAACACTCAAGGAAGGTTAATTTAATTTAATGCCAATTAAAATATAGTTGGATAGTGTGAAGCAAAGACAAAAGAGAACACCTCTACCCTTTATTCCTTCTTCTCACGCTCAACTTTGCTCCTTCATTCCCTCTCCTCCAGGCCCCCACACACCCTCCCAGGTGATGCAGCAGGGATGAGGTGTTGAAGGGTTGCAGTCAGTCCATAACGGTTCCTTCTCTGCCACTTCTTCCCCCTCAGACTTTGCACTTGCTCCACTCTGGGTCGTCCTTGCAGGCTATAGTCCCTCGGGATAGATAAACCAGCTCCATTGAAGGCCTTTCCCACAGCCTGCGTGGGAATTCCTCCTCCAGCACCTGGAGATACTCCTTCCCACCTTATCCTCTGGCCCTGCTGCTCACAGGGCTCTTCTCACACTTTTCTCCCTCACTCCTGTGTAACATTTTGCCCTTTCTTAAAAAGCTTTTGCACAGGCAGCAGCAGTTTCCCCGCCAGGCTGGGCTGCGCCCCGGGACGCGGCAGAGCAGCCCAAACCGGCTGTGCCCGGCACAGGGCAGCTCCTGCCTCTCCTGGCAGAGGAAGAGGCCCCTGCCGGCCGCTCTGCCAGCACCCACACATGTAAACCCTTCACACTTGGTCAGCACTTCTCTTCACAAATACCTAAATCACTCCTTTTACATTGCTTTCCCTCTCAAAAAAACAAACAACAAAAGAGAAACATTTCAATTCCCGTAAGCTGCTCCCCAAGATCCTAAATTTCTCCTTAGTTTCGCCTTCTCCAGGATACATTTATCACAAAGAAATTCACCGAAATCCATCAGGATGGAATTTCACCTAATGTCACAGGCAGACATGATAGATCTTTGGGATAATTTTCTTATTTATATTCACAACAGCTACAAATTCATTGCTCCCTTTCATCTCCAACTCACAGCATGCTAACGTCCTCTATCTACAAGTACTGTAGATTTGGGGTCCAGGTGATTTGGGGAGTCCCAACACTTAATATCCAGCAAGTAGTAATAACAGTAAAGAAGAAACTGGCTCAAAACATGCCCAGAATTAACATGGTACATGCTAATTAATGATATTTCATCTTAAAATGCTGAACAGTAAATACTTACTAAGCACAGGGCATAAGATAAATGCTTTCCATGTCAATGTTTATTTTGTTTCCTTGTACAATTTAGTCATGACTTAAAAATTAGGAAAATCACATAGTTCTATATATTCCTCAGAAATAACATTTCAAATGTCATCCAAGACTCACAAATGCCTCCCAAATACAGAATAGTAACTCAAGCAAGTGACAACAACATTCAGTGTGCATATGCTATCTCAAGAGTTTACTGAGGTAAAATACTCCAGACAGCCCCTTTCTCAATAGTTGATACTGTTTGCAGAGATGCTGGATTATCACAGTTACCAGGGATGTTCCTTGTGGACGCAGTTGAAAATTGGACCAAGAACTGCATTTGCTGTACCATCACATAACCAATTGCACTGAGAATCACCTTTTCTTTCAGAAAGGAGACAAGAGAATTAAAGGAGAAAAATCAATGTTTTATCCTTTTTGGTTTTGGACAGTTCTGTCTCTGCACATTCAATCACACTTGACAGAGATTTCATTTTACTGCAACTTCATAAGCTGTAATGAAAGTAAATGCCCACAACCTTATGGGAGAAAGCAAAAAAGAAATGTCATGGCTGAACTAGTAGCCCACTAGCTACTGACATACTATGATTAGATCATGGATTCTGTCATATTTTCTAACAGGAAGACTACAGTAGACTGAACTAAACAAGCTCTAAAATTATGGCATCTGAAATTCACTTTGAGCAAGACTCTACAAGTCCTGGCTGAAGAGAGATTATATTAAAGTAGAGATTGAAATTCATAAAATCACCTGGTTACCAACGATGAGTCAAACAAAAGCCATTCAAAATAAAGGTTTAATTTTCCAGAAGAATAGTAAGAAAATAAAATACTGCTAGCTGTATGTGAGAGTGCCTATCATTATCTACCTATACCCATCCTTTCATATACATAAATATGTACATACAAGCAAAAATAAACAAACCCCACCACTCCAACATATGCAGCACAGGAAACACAAAGAGGTTGGACAGGCCTGTGAATTTTTCTTCTAAATGTACATTTCCTACTATTTTCTTCCAGGATGTAAATGTTTTTAGAGTATTTCATCCAAGTCTCTTTCCAGAGACTGTAAGAGTCAGGGATAGGAAGTAAAAATGCACTAAGCACTAACCTACAATACCAGAGCTTTTCAAAACAGCCTGTTGCTACAACAGATAAGGTTGCAGCAAAGGGGCATTAACACCTGGTGCTTTTTGCAGTGGTCAAACAGGTCACTCTGCAAAGCAGGAGAGAGAAAGCCCAGCAGGGCTTCAGACCAACACACCTCTACAGCTCTTGGTCTCCAGGATGGCTGTTTCAGAACTAACAGTGCAATGCAGCACTGCACAAAGACAGCTTTAGAAGTATTTTCATAACAAAAAAAGGATTACTCTGGAGAACAAGGGGTCTTCTCTGCTCTTAGCTTTGCTATAGCACTCTGGAAACTCCTTAATAACAGTTCTAGTATTTCTCATTATTTTAGTAGATTGTTTCCTGCCATCTCCAATTCTCTTGAACCTCCTACCCACACAAATAATTTTATTACATATTCCTTATGCCACAAAAAAAAACAACAAACAACGCACCTGAAAAAAACAAACAATAAACAAAACAAAACAATAAGGATTATCTACTTGAAACATCCCCATTGTTTAGAACATGCAATCCCTACCCTTCATAAAGTAGTATCTCAGAACCAAACCACATGGAATGTAATTGTTATTAACTCTCCATCAGGCAGCCTGACTCTTAACCATTTCATATTTTTTATCTCATCTACTACCACATATTCAGTTTGATGAAAGCCCAAAACAAACAATTTGCAAGAACATACTCCCAGTTATTTTCAAGTTATGTGCTGAAAGCAAAGTATTTGTATTCATCTGTATTTATAAACATACTTTATATTTGAGTTAATATTGCTACAGATTTAATAATAGTTTTTCAAAGATGATGATGCCTGTAAGTAAAGGTAAAGAGGATTTTTACTGAGATGTAGAATGGTTGCTACCGTGTTTGCTCTGCTTTAATTACACCATCAATCCTTTAAATTTCCTTGACTAAAGTTCTACTGCAAAGGTGTGGGTTTTGTTGGGTTTTTTTTGTTTGTTTGTTTGTTTTTTTCCCCTCTCTCTCTCATGTTGCTTTGATTTCTTCATTATTTACTATTTCCTTGCTTTGTAGACCTCTAGACTGTGGACAAGCCTAACAATTTCTACAACAAAGGCAATGTGATTCTGCACCTTCCTTAGCAGCGTGATTTGAGCCCCACCTAACCTAAAGTTAAGTCTTAAATTAGAAGAAATCCAAATCTCATGCTTTCACCTCTTTTTTTCTTTGGCATACTTTTATGCTCCTTTATATCTGTTCTATTACAAACTCCTGAGTTTCATTGGAATTCTTTTAATACAATTTTTTTTGTTCTCAGGTTAGCTTCAAGTATCAAATGGCAGTGATATCTTTTCTGTGTAGTCTGCAGGCTCAATAACCTAAAAAGGCAGAGATCAGTTTCAATACAGAAAAAGCAGCTCTGTAATTGGCATTGCTTTTAAAAGGAAAAAAAATCAGATTTTTTACTGTAATGTAGCTCAACAGTAACAAAGTACATACTAGTGTTCATAGATACACGAACACTACATAACTACATTTATTCCCTAATAAAACAAAACTAACGTTACAATTACAAATCACACAAACATCACAAAGCAAGAAACAATCCACAGTTCAGAATAAAACCCTTCCCAACAGCTTTGGAAAATGTCTGAAAAAGTATTCATCTAGATACTGTACTTTCAAAACATATAAATTCATATAAAAACTGAATTCTTTTTTTCAAGTGAAACTGAACAGACAAAGATTTGAACAAATATAACTCCCTCTTTTGGGTCATGACCCTCAGTATTTTTGGATGGTGCCTAACAGCTGGCAGTTTTGCTAACTCCACTGCTAATTAAAGTTGAAGTTTGAGTATGCTTTGTGTTAAAATAAAAAAAATAAAAATCAAACCAAAATATTGTGTCTCCTAGCAGAGAAACAGATTC